TTTAATAAATATATTTACTTGCCTTTTTATTTCTTCTTAACTTACCTTTCTTTAGAATTATGCTCTTAGGCTTGCAAAATAGTATAGGTACTTACCCTTGCTTTGAAATCATAATTATAAACTTGTAATATGTATTAATATAACTTTTGAAAATATATATTTCAAAATTTTTTTTTAATAATTTTTATTTTAATTTTAATTTTAAGTTTTATTTTAATTTTGACTTTTATTTTAATTTCGATTTCATTTTAATTTTGACTTTTATTTTTAATTTCAACTCCTGTTTTTAATTTCAACTTTTATTTTAATTTCAACTTCCATTTTAATTTTGAAATATCAAAATTTTGAAATAATATTTTAAGGTCAATTTTTGAGATATTTATATTTCAGGTTTTGGATTCTAAAATAATTTTGCGTGCAAATATAATCTATATATAACAAATCATAAAAAGACCTGTATAATAATATAATAAATATTTTGTAACAAAATCCATCAAGGCCTAATTAATTAAAAAAAAGATTATCTACTTACGTGAATAAAACTAACAAGCTCAAATTGGTAAAATTTGTTAGCTTTCCATTTAACAAAATTACTCAAGTCAACAATTATATCTTTGAACATCTTTGATTTTTTAGTTCTCTCTCCTTTTGTAATTTTGATCTATTGTCCTTCTCATAGTTCTTTTCTATCTCAAAAGTGTCATATTCGTAAGATCCTTTTTTTATAATGAGATTACCCCTTCTTTCAATAGATTTTCTTGTTATCTTCACAATTCCTTGAACTATCCTTCTATTATTTTTACATTTTGATGAAGCAATACTATATAATTCACCTCTGGTAATATCAACTCTTTCCAATTCATTAAAACATTTATTATAAATGACTATATATGAATGTTGTGTTATATCTCCAAATGTTTTTGTTACAATGTATCTGACTCATATTCTAATAACAAATTATAGATACTATTCTTAACCTAGTTAAAATTAAAATGTTTTATTTTTTCAAAATTTTTGCTTTCCCAATCTTGTCGTATATCAAGCACTACACACAAATTTTTTATTATTTTCATTTGGAAAGAGCTAATATATTCTAATAATTATCTCAGCATTTCTGAAAGGTCTTTTACTTCTTTATCACAGATTTCTTTTAGTTCTTCACAGGTAAAAATATTGTTTTTGATATAAGTTTTGTTACTAGGATCAATAATGAATGAATGTACAAGGCTGAAAAAAAAATATTACTGAAAGTTAATCACATAGTCAAAATCAGAAATTTTATTAAAACAAATATATTTTCACATACTATTCAAACTGACATTTATTTTCAAAAGCATATAAATTATCTTCAATACATTTTCCTGATGTTAAATATTATTTTTTCTTCTTTTTCATTATTCTATATAAATCTTTAAATTTAGTTATACTTGATTTACCCATTTTTCCATTTTTTCATTCTTATCAATTTCATCAAAATAATTGTCCTCATCAGATTATGTATATTTACACTCTATTGTGTTATCTAACTTATCTAACTTTCTAAGTTTCCTAATAAACTGGTTCAATTCACTAGGACTCATTTAGAATTTATCAATTTTATTATTTAAATCTTACAGAGGTAAAAAGTCAAATTATAGTTATGTCATAAATAATTATATTAGCAGTAATATTAAATAATTATACTGATTTTCTCCAACCTTTGAACTTTGTTTTTATTTATATTTAATATATGAAATATTCATTGTACTACTTCTATTTGATGTTATTCCATTATTCAAATAGTTTCTGTAAAAGTTAACTGAAGTTTTACTACGGATTTAAGGTTCTTCTATCAATTTTGAGCACGAATATAATTTGGATGAGAACCTTGGCATATAAAATTATAAGTTAGTAATATTCTTTATTTTATAAATTACTTCCTATTTCTATTTCATCAGGTTGACTTTGAACTTTGAACACAAGACAATTTTCAAAATTGCTCCTGCCTCAATGGGATTAGTATTAAATTAACCTTGAGCTTTGAACATAAGACAATCTTTGAAATTGTCCCTGTTCCAAAACTAACTTTGTAACTTGCTTTCAAAGCTTAAATGATATGAGATCCTTGAGATCTTGTACTAAAGATGGCATCTGTAATTATAAATTAAGGATTATGGTATTACTACTTGTATTACAATTATTAAAAATTTTAATAATAAAAAATTTGCAATTACACAATTCACAATTATTCACAATTCCTCAATTATTCCATAATTCTTTAATCATTCTGCAATTCCTCAATTATTCTTCAATTTCTCAATTATTTTGTAATTCTGCAATTTTGCAATTATTTTGTAATTCTTTAATTATTCTATAATTTTTGAATTATTCTACAATTTCACAATTATTTCACAATTCTGTAATTATTCTACAGTTTTATAATTATATCGCAAGTCTATAATTATTTTGCAAGTCTGTAATTATTCTACAAGTTTACAATTATTTTGCAAGTTTAGAGAAGAGTATCACATAAAGATAAAAAGAAAAAGAGAAAAGAGAAAGAGAGAAAAGGAAGAGAGAGAGAAAAAAGAAAGAAAGAGAGAGAGAAAGGGAAGAGAAAGAAAGAGAAAGGAAAGAAAAAGTGAGAGAAAGGAAAGAGAGGGGAAGAAGGAAAAGATCTTTAATCGTATATTTGCAAAGTTGATTTTGATAATTTTGACTTCTACAGATATTTCTACAAACTAGTGAAAGGTGGAGAGAAGAAGAGTAAAGAAAAGGACAAGGTAAATATAAGATTTTATTTTTTTTAATAAAAAAAAGAAAAAAGAAAAAAAAAAGACTTACCTTTAATTATACATCTGTGAAGTTAATTTTGATAATTTTGATTTTCACAGGTGTTTTTATGAACTAGTGAAAGTTGAAGAGAAGAAAGGTAAAGACAAGGACAAGATAAGTATAAGGTTTTATTTTTTTAGAAAAAAAAAGAAAAGAAAAAAAAACTCATTTTTAATTGTACATTTGTAAAACTGATTTTGACAATTTCAACTTTCACAGGTGTTCCTATGAACTATATATGTTTCCAAAATTGATTTTGGATTTTTGAGGTATTTCGACTTTTTGAGATTTATGCAAAATCTATTCTATATATAGAAGTAAAAAAAGTACCTAGTTATATGTATCTTTAATCAAAGAATAAATCTGAATGGTCAAAAAATTTCGGGTTTTAAGTAAAATAATTTCGTCTTCTATGAAAAATTATTTCAACTTTTTTCTTCAAAATTGCAATTTCGGGGCTTCAAAATAATTTTGCGTACAAGTATACTATGAACCAGCTAAAGGTAAGGGTAAAGACAAAGACAAGGTAAGTATAAGGTTTTATTTTTTTTTAAAAAAAAAAAAAAAAAAAAACTTACCTTTAATTATACATTCGTGAAGTTGATTTTGACAATTTCAACTTCTACAGGTTACTGATTAAAAATTGATAAATCATATACACATCGAATACCTGATATGTGCATAGTATGTCTCTAATATTAGGTGTATATCGGATATCCGATAGGTATAGAAAATATTTTTTTACACTTATTGGATATCCGATATATATATAAAATATTTTCTACACCTATTGAATACCTGATATATACCATATTAGGGATGTACCATGTATATATCGGATATCCGATGTGTGTATGATTTATCAATTTTTGACCAGTGGGTATTTCCATAAACTAGTAAAAGTCAGGAAGAAGAAAGGTAAAGGTAAAGACAAGGTAAGTATAAAGTTTTATTATTTTTTTTTAAAAAAAAAAATTCACCTTTAATTATATATAATTTTGATGATTTCGATCCCACAGATATTTTCACAAGCTAGTAAAAAGTGAGAAAAAGAAAGATAAAAGTAAAGACAAGATAAGTATAGGTTTTTTTTTTATTTTTTTAAAAAAAATTTTTTTGATTATCAAGTTATGAACAATTGAGGAATTGCAGAATGATCAAGGAATTGTGAAATAATTGAGGAATTATGAAACAATTGAAGAATTGCAGAACAATTGAGGAATTGCAGAACAATTGTGGAATTGCAAAACAATTGTGGAATTGTGGAACAATTAAGGATAAATAGATTAATTGAGGATATACAGATTTTTATTACAATTCCATCTAAAAAATCTGCAATATTGAGAATTTGAAAAAATAATTGAGGATATTATTTTTATCTCACACATGTTATCAAATTCTCTATACAATATATAAAAATTATTTATACTTTATATATTTATTATTATGTATATTTTTTACATATATTTATTACAAAAATTTTACTATGTATTATAAATCAGCTAAAATTGAAATTTCTTTTTACACTATATATTTTTTTGTATTTGACTTGTGAAAATTTCATTTTCTACTTTCAACATATGCAATTTCATATTGCTTTTGTTTTAAAGTTACTTGTATTATTAAATCTTCTCTGTTTCCTCTTGAATTACTTTTTCTAATACCTTCTGATTCTTACTAACAATACATTGTTTTTCACTTCTAATTATATCAACATTATATTCAAGTGGTAATTGATATAAAGAAGAATCCGGTAATGACAACTATAGCAAGCAAATACTTAAGTATAATTTTTAAGTTGCCTTTTCATATAATTATATAAAAGATCTATTAAATCTTTAATTGTATTAATGCAAGGAATATGTGCATTACAAAAGTTTTTGAAACATGCTAAGGGGCTATATAATATTGAAGGATTTTTCTGTATGAACATTCTTTGTTAAAGTGATATTATTCTATGTGAATAATCCCTCTTGTTCTGTGTGAACACTTATAAAACCTTATAAAACCTTATAAAACCTTACCATTTGCTTTTTTTGACGATTTGATGAATTTTTTATTAAAGTATATTCTATTTATTTCCTAACTCAGGAAAGCTAAAGCTATCTTATTTTTCATGTGAATAACTCATCAATTTGCTAGTTATACATGATGTACACATGATTTTTGTGAGGCTTGTATTTTCAATGTCACCGTTCTACTATAAAACAGCAATTGAGACACTTCAGGAATTAAGAAAAAGTGGAGAAAGGAATCCAGAGTTAGTGGTGACCTTGGGAGAAAAATTAATTTATGAAGGTTATACAGGAAAACTTGGTGATGAAGGTGTGCAATAAAATAATATATAGATGTTAAGACAATATTTAGTTCGTTAATTCACAGAATTCATTTTATATTTAGTATGGTCTGTGTACGAACAAGTTTTTATTGCTGCTTTAGATTATCGTAATGATGCGTTGGCCAAGGTATCAAAACCAATATTTATTGATGATTTTTAATGTTTTACAAATTATGTAAAATTATAATCAAATAAATAAATAAATAAATAAAAATATATATATCAATTATATCAACCATATAACTAATTCAAAAAATGGTTTCAGACGTGTTTGGAAAGACTTGAGAAACGATTTCCAAAATCACCACGAGTAAAAATATTAAACGGAATGAAATTAGAAGCAGAAGATAAATTGGATGAAGCGTTGGAATTATATGATGAAATTTTAAAAAATGATGATTCAAATATTGTAGGTTATTATATGGAAAAAAAAAAGAAAAAAAGAAATATATCAATCGAGTAAAATTATTTATTGTTGATGTAATAGGCAACAATTAAGCGTAGAATAGCCGTGTTTAAAGCTAAAGGACAAGATCAACGAGCGATTGAAGCGTTAACTCAATATTTGGATGCTTTTTATAATGATGCAGAAACGTGGTTGGAATTATCATCATTGTATTTGAACTATCATTTGTAAGTGTATTAGAATCCAGCAGAATTTTTGTTAATAATAAAATTAATGAAATTAATAAAATTAATTATATAATAAAATATAGATATCAGCAAGCAGGATTTTGCTTAGAAGAACTTATTTTACTTCAACCACAAAATCATTTGTATCATTTAAAATATGCAGAAATTTTATATACAAATGATAATATTAATAATATCAATTTAGCTTTAAAAGAATTTTGTCGAGTTCTTGAATTATGTGAAGATCACATTAGAGCTTTATATGGAGTTAAATTGGTATTTAATTTAATTAATTATTTATAATAAATTATATATATATATATATAAATCATCATATTCTTCACTAACTTTATAATGTATTATTAATTTTTTTTTTTTTTTTTTAGTGCACATCTCGACTTTTAAATTTATCATCATCATCACCATCAATCGATTTTAAAACAGTTTCTGATTTAAATTCTTTAGCTAGTGAACGTCTTTCAAAAGTATATTCTTTAGACAGTAAAAATAAAGTTGGTAACTCAAATAATGAACTTCGTCAAATCATTCGTGATTGGTTAAATGAATCTGATAAAAGTTATTAGCAACTTATTTTTAATATAAATATTATAATATGTAATGCAATAATATAATAGAAATGATTTCTCCTTTCATAATTTACTTATTAAAAAAAATATCTATTAAATATTTATTTATCGAGAAAGATATTTAATCAAAATTGTTTGCGCCAAATATTTACTAATAAAATGTTTACTAAAATGCTTTGGTTGTTGTAAATCTTTCACATATATACTGTATATATAACTTCCGTGACAACAGATATATACAAATATATATAAATTATATAATCAATTCATACATACATACATTAAACTTTCTATTTTATAAATAGAATTTGTGAATATGTTAAAAGTACAAAATGAATGAATTAATTTAAATAAATTTAACTATTTAAAGAAAAAAAAATGTAGAATAATATTGTGTATGTAATAAAGGAATGAATCATGTTTTTAAATAAAATAAATAATGTGAAGAAAATAATATTGATTGGTAAAATTTACACTATTAGTGTAAATAAATGTAAAATTATTTTAGGGAGAATGACTCAAAATAGTTAATGAATTTAAAAAGAGTGTTTTAACCAGTATTACAACAATTATTACCACCTGATGAAACGTTGAGAGGTATGGTATTTGCTCCCGGTTGCAAATGCATGCCCCTTTTGATTCCGTTTGCCTAAAAAAAAAAATAATAAATAAATAAATAAATAAATAAATAAATAAATATAAAAATATATATGTATATATATACAATAAATTTATTTTAAATCAAACCTCATTAGTAACATCAAAAACTCCTTGTTTAATTTTTTCGTAAATGTCTTTCGCAGTATCGACGTATGCCTATAATAATAATAATTTATTATTATCATTATCATTATTATTATTATTAGACGTATATGATGTATATAAATGAATCTGATGAACGAAATAAATAATAATAAATAAATAAATAAATAAATAAATATATATATATATATATTACATCTTCAACGTTTTCCGCCGTCTTTGCGGATGTCTCCATGAAAAATAATCCATGTTGTCGAGCAAAAGCTGCGCCTTCTGCATAAGATACTGCACGTTTAGAATCGAGATCACTCTTATTTCCAATAAGCATTATTGTTGTATTGGAATTGGAGTGTTGACGAGCATCTTCAAGCCAAATGAGAAGATGATCAAAAGTATCACGTCTTTCGTGTAATAAAAAGTGGTTATATATAAAAAAATTAACGAATAAAAAGATTCAAGAACGTATTAAACACGATTATTGTCAGCAATTTACCTAGTGATGTCGTAAACTGATTTTATATAAAAAAAAAAAATTTAACGTCAAAATTTATTTATTAATTGGTAAAAAAATAATTAATTGGATTGTTTAATTACTTACCCAACAAGGCCCCAGCGGCACCACGATAATAACTTCTCGTTATACTTCTAAAAGATTCCTGCCCAGCCTAATAAATAATTCAATAAATCAATATAAAATTGTTAAATACTTTCTCGAAACAATAAATTAAATAAAGAAATAAACAAAATTGATCTTACCGTATCCCAAATTTGAAGTTTAATTTTCTTTCCTTCAACCTGAATAAATTTTACCCATTTAAACAAATCAATTTATTGAAACAAATGTTAAACCGAAATATGAATATGATTTAACAAAAGTTCTTACATCCACAAATCGAGCTCCAAATTCCACCCTGAATATAATTATTATTATTATTTAAGTGTTTAATAAGTAATAAAATAAATTAAAGAATACATATAATTACCCAATAGTCAAGTCATGAGCTGGTTGAAATCGTTTATCCGTGAATTGTAAAAGTAGGCATGACTAAGCCACAATTTTAAAACCAAAGTTAAAAATTTCCTACGTATATCGCTTAAAATCTTTGATTCCATCGCGCGCTGCACAAATAGACACAATATTGAATCTCAATTGCAGCGACAAAGTTTATATATATTTTGGGCTTGTTGAACAGTTTCACATTTGATCCAACCAAAATTATACTAAATTACAATCTCGGTCCCAAAAAAAAGTTGTAAAGTACAAACTTGAGAAAAATCGGATCTATAATACCTTTCCGACACCTATTATCAAATAATGATATTTAAAGTCTGACGTGTCATTTTTTTTTGAACACGATTAAAACTAATGGAAACAATTTATTAAATACCTGTGTCTCCAATGATAATGTACTGTTTATTACAAATGCCAAATAGAAAAAGAATTAAAGTCTAGAAAAGTCTAAGAATACAAATAGTTACAATGATAGAATTCTAAAAAAATGTAAACCTTTATAATGTAATCGTAGGTATAGTTCGACATTCTGTGAAAATTAAATCTAAAATGACTAGAATGAACGAGTAAAAGTTTGCTTAGCCGTAAAATAATAAATGTAATAAATGTTAAAATGTGTGAATTACGGCAGTCAAATATAAAGGAAAGTTAAGGGGATTGGAAAATAAGGAATATGCAGGTTGAGAAAGAAAATTAGGCTGCATTTATTAACTTTTAAAGTTGAGCACGTGGACTAAAACTCACCTTGTATTACCGACTTTATAATTATGTCTCGAAAAACATTAATGTATGCTCCTTTTCGCTGTTACTTTTAGTATCTTAGTATTTTACTATGCAAGGCGATTAATAATGAACAAATTACTAAAACCAGATTTGATATTTGAAAAAAATTTAAAAATTAGGGATAAAAAAACCGCCACATCACATCATTACGAGAACAGTATATAATAGAGATCAAAAGATACTAATTAGGCTAAAAAAAATTCTCAATTTTTCTGGCTTACATAATATAATATCCGTGATCTATGGTAATTTTGATTGGGTAATATAATTTTATATAAATGTCCATGATTTTTATGCTCACCTAATTTTAATACTCTTTGATTTATAATCTTCATCTGAATTATAGACCATTTATATTTAATAAATCTTAACAAAACTTGTTATTAATTAAGATCTTATCTATAATAAATTCATTCTATTTTTTTTCCATTTGACTAGTAATTAATTTTGTAATTTATTTTAAAGTTTTTTTAAAAATTAATAAAAACATTTATAGTGAAAAGTATATGCATTTTTAAGTTAAAATAATCAAATTATTTAAGTATTACAAAATGGGTAATATTTTTTTAATGATACATTAAAATCAATTAGTTTTAATTTATTAAAGTAAGATAGTTAATTTTCAAATTTATATAATATCTTCAAATATTTAAGATTTTTTGATCAAAACTAATAAATTTGAAAACTTTTGATAAAATTAATAGTTAAAAAGTTAAGAATTCTATTTAGGAAAGTATAATGTTTATTTAAATGTAACACATTGTTGTTATTAGGGTTACATTGATTATAGAGATATTGCACTATATTAAGAATACTAAAAAAGTCCATTTAATCTTTGTAAAATATAAAAGCACACTTAATCTATACCCTGGATATAGATTCTTTTCTTGTATTCTAGAGAATATAAACTCTTATTTTTAAATTTATTAGTTTATAATTTAACAGGAAATAAAAATTTTATGGGAAGTAACAAAATTTAGTAACAAATATGATTTTTAGTATGATTAAAATTTTTTTTTTTTTGACAATATTACAGAGTGAAATTGACTGTAACCAGTAACTATAATATATAGTACCTACAATATTCAATATAAAAGTTTAACCAACAGATGAATAAATAAAGATAAATATTAGTAATAATACTTGATAATTCTTATTAATATTAATTTAGTCATAAGATTAGTCAAAGTCAATATAAAAGAAAACTTTCTACAGTGGCGGTAGCCATAGTTAACTAATGCTAGTTTAGTTTAGTTAATATATTTCAGTTTAGCCAGATTTTATTCTTCATATAAATTTATATTAATTATAAATGCTACTGTTAATAAATAAAGTTGAGACCTCATAAATTAGTCAAAGAGAGTGGAATGTTGTTTTCCAAATTGAGGAAAGAGTAAGGATTCCTTTCTTTTTGTCCAGAGTGTACTTTATTATATCAAATTTTAAACATTGTATATAAGTGATCATCAAACAAAGAAATTATATAATTATTTTATTAAGTCTTGTTCAAAAAATGAATTGGAAATTATTCTGTCTTTTATAATGTTTAAATGTATATTTAATTTGTTTTGGATTTAATCCTTTACAATATGCATCTATATAATGATATAATTTTCTTGCAATGTTTTAAGTAGTAGTTGTGCCGAAATTCAGGCACTCGATTTATGATTACGCATATCAGGTACCTGAATTTCAGCACAACTACTACAACTTATCTTGTACCCGATAGATGTAGTATTTTAAAATTTCGGCCAGTGTGTATAGTCGTTCTAAGCCTAAGTTGCATAATCACTATCCACTTGGAAGCGAAATTGCGCAAGAACTTATTCCACATACCGCGCTAGTTACCACATGTATGTTGCATTAAACAAATATAAAGACTAAAAAAGAAACTGACTTGATTTGATATTAAATAGTTCAGAATCACGATTAATATTTATATAAAACCTTTTTTTTTTCGTATCGTGCGAACTTATAAAAAATACAAAAATTAAAATTGTATATAAAGTCTCATCAAGGAATACCTGATAAAAATCTTTAATCAATATTAAATTAAATAATATATATATATATATATATATATATATTTGGGTTTAACCCTTGATCATACGAGTATAATTAAATAAAATTTTTTTTATTTATATTATCTAATTTGTTTATATATATAAATATATATATTATGCAAAAATTGTGAAAATAAAGAAATGCAATATAAAATTAATTCATCTTGTCTAAGAATCCAAAATATTCATTTACTGATCACAAAATATTTTTAAGATTGTTTTAGATGAAGGGCTAAACATCAAAATTAAATAAAATTTCATTAGTTAAAAATTTTTTTATAATAGAAATTCAAAAAAAAAATAATAATAATAAAATAATAAGATTAAAATGGTTAAAGCACTTACGTTTTCCATGACATAACCACTAAACAAATTGATTCTTCCACTACCATGAATCTGGGCTGCTTCCAATATACGACGAGTATCTGGTGAAGCATCATTCAAAGAATTATGTGTGATGATTTTCGTTTCCTTAAATTTTCCTTTCTCAATACTGAAATAACCAGCTATATCACCATTTTTATTTGGAGGAGTTACATTATGATTATGATAAATGTTTCTTACGGCAGGAACATTATGAGGAGTATTTCGTACGGCAGCAGGAACATTAAAATATTGATTGATTTTTGTAGGAGTAATAATTGAAATGTTCATGGTGGTTGTTCTACTTTTAATGTTTTTAACCTGTTTTAAGGGAGAATCATCATCTTCATCTTCTTCATCAGAAGTAATAATTGGTAGATTTTCATTATCTTCATAATTTAATATATTGGTGGTAGTCATATAATCCCTTGATCTAATGCGATTACAAGGTGTATCCACATCCATCATATCATAATCTATTGATTTATTCATAATAACTTCGTTAGAAGAATTAATATTCGAATATTGATGGAAATAGTTAATGGTATGGGTTTTAACCATGGGATCAAGTGGACTTGAAGGTAGACTTGAAGGTGGACTTGAAGGTGGACTAGATGAACAAGGAGAGTCAGTCTTTGAATCAAATTTTTTTCTATACAAAAATGGTGAGATATTTTCTTTATCAACTTCGTCAATAGTAGAACAACGAAGTTTTTCAAGTAACGTTGGTATATCCATCTAATAATCAAAAATATTAAATACTATAATCATTATTTTTTTTTAAAAAGATATACACTTAAAGGTTCAACCTTGTTTGCTTGATTTAATTTCTTATTTGAGTATTTTTTTCCTGAACCTAATCTCTTGGGTCTTGTTGCTCTTTTCTTATTCTTTCCTCCATTATCGGGGGTGGAACTTGAATCTTTATTTAAATTTTAAAATTTTTTAAATAAAGTTCGTGAAAATCACAAATTTCATAAACTTTATGAACTCGAATATTTTACCCGCAGAACCCATTTTTCGCCAAATGTCCTTTAAGCTAGACTTTTCTTCTGGAATAGTTTCTTCTATCCTTACTTCTACTTGATTTGATTGTTCTAATTCATTATTAATAAAAAAAGCTTTCAGTACGTATTGAACAATCTCAAGAAGAAAAAGAAATTGAAAATTAAAAATGAAAACGACACCCATGACATAAAGGTATTTTAAGACTATTCAAGGGATAATATTGGCAATATTGCTAACTTTGGATTAGGCCAATTTACAATTTCGATTCGATAATATTTCGTACTACCAATTAGTCATTACCTTCTTGTTGTTTTTTTCGGGCAAGAGCCAAGAGTGCTTCAATCTTCTGCTGGAAATTTTCCATTTTGACGTTTAATTCACAAGAGTAAACCTAGAATTCCTAAATAAAATGGAGTTCAGGTAACGCGTTCCTCGAGAATAAAAGTGGTTAGTAAACAAGAGTTTGCCTTCGACGGTTGCACTGCAGCTACTGCAGCTCGCATGACAATCTACCTTAACTTATTATGTAAATCACCCCCCAAAAAAGTGTATACATTTGACATAAATTAATTTTTATTGGACAATTATTATTTTTCTGTATATATAAAATTAGAAATTCAAATAAAAGTTTATAACGCAGTTCATTGTTCACCATGTCTCAATGGATGTCGCAAGGTGAGTTTTTATCAAAGAGCTGATTCTTAGGAAATTTTTTAAACTTAGTTAAAATCGAGGATTATTTTTGAAACCGTCATTAAATACACTCTATATTTTTTTTTTTTTTGAATAATTCTTTGAATTTTTTTTTTTCGATAAAAAAGCAAACCAAATTTTTAACTCTTCTTTTTTTTTTGAATAGGTCATTTTCCACCACCTCCACAACCACAATATCCGTCCTATCAAGGACCTCAACAGGTTCCATCTAATCAATATATTCCTCAATACCAAAGACCCTCAATACCTCCACCTTCGCAACAACCTCCTATAGATGATTTGTCTATATCTTTTGAAAATCTTGCAATGAGTTTGAGACTATCAGCAGGACCCCAAGAATTAGATAATTTTCACTTATCTCTTAGGATGCTTATGCATGATTGTTCACAATCAAATATTCAGGTTCCCTTTAAGTTTCTAAATTAAAAGATTTTTGGGAGTTTACTTCAAAAAGAATTTATTAATTTATCCGTTTTGATTTCGAAATTTAGAGAGGCAGAACCTGGATATTTGAACATTGTACAAATCCAACTCATTATGATAGTTTATTACGTTTTGTTATTGCGCTCTCGAGATCACGACCTTTATTTGAGGATAAACTTCACCTGATATATTTAATCAATGATGTTCTATATTACAGGTTTACAAAACAAAAAAAAAATAATTTAATCGAAGTTTTTATCAAAAGATTTCTGATATTATTTTAAGTTGATAATAACAATTTTATATTATAGTGAGCGTCGTCAGGAACCTTGGGTCAGAGATGCTTTACATTCGCATTTGCTTCCATTACTTCGTGGTGCTTTCCATTGTGTAGATGCAAATGAAAAGCAACAAGAGAAAGTTCTTAAAGTAATATTTATTATTTGATTTCTTATAAATTTTCAAATAACATATAACATATAACATATCACATATAATATATTACATTTAATTAAATATTTATATATTTTTTAATGAATTAATAGATTATATCTATTTGGGGTGACAAACATTACTTTGATGATTCCAAAATAAATGCTTTGAAATCTGGAATTATGGTTCCTCCTCCACCGCCTGGTGGTCCACCACCCGCTTCATATTCACCACAAGGTCAACATTCATTTGGACATATGCGTTATCAAGGTTCTCAATCCGTGTCACCTTTTTATAATCAAAGTGCACCTCCACCACCTGGGATGTTTTCTAGTCCCCTTCCTTCTGTTCAATCAATGGTTTCATCGAGTACTCACCTTTCTCCATCACCAGTTTCTCATAGTCACTTAAGATCCATTTCTGAACCAGCACCACCAGGTATTTCACCAGGACAATTTCTTCCCGGTCCATCTCCACCACCGGGAATACCTATACAAGGAATTGTTCCAAGATCGGAGGCAGTCTCTCCTCCTATTCCTGCTGTTCCTGAAAAAAAATATCATGAATTACCGGCTGGATTAATTGTTCCCGCTATTTTGGTATGTAATAAAGTGTATTGATGTTTTATCAGTGTTTATGTCTTCTTAATAGTCTACTTATTTATCAGCCTGTTTTAGCCTGAGGATCCTCCTTATAAACCTATTCATGCTGCTTCTATTAGACTTCCACCTCATCGACTTCCACCAACAGCGGAATTATTAGATGCTGTTGATAAATTTTATGAAGGGATGAAAATAGTAGAATCGACAGATGAAGATGGTGAAAGTCTTGTACCAATTAAAGAGAAAATTAAACTTGATAAAAATGGTTGGGAAGTAGGATTTTTAGATGATTTTTATAAAGATTTATATGTTCGTAAAGCAGCAGCAGCAGCTCGGACTGCGGCTGGAAAATATCGTCCGTATAGACGTAATAGAGATGATCGGCACCATCATTGGTCAAGAGATAGAAGTTTTTCCAGATCAAGATCTCCTTCATTACGATCTCATTCACGAAGAAGTAGAAGGCGTAGTAGTTATTCGGATTCTTCGTCTAGTAGTCATAGTCGATCAAGAGGACGTAAACGACATAGACGAAGTAGTAGAAGTAGGTCACGATCAAGATCAAATTCTAGACATAGATACAAGAGTAATAGTAGATCATGGAGGCGAACAAGATCACGAACTCGTTCAAGGACACGTTCTAGGACCCCTTCCCGTACACGTTCGTTATCACGTTCTGTTTCTCAATCTCGATCTAGATCATTATCAATTCCTAGGACGAAAACGAGGTCAAGATCAAGAACCATGACGCAAACGAGTTCAAGAAATCGATCAACAAGACCAAGGAGTAGAAGTAGATCAATATCTTCAAGTTCTAGATCAAGGTCGAGAACTAGATCAAGGTCAAGATCATATGAAAGAAGTCGAAGTCGAAGTTATAGTCGTGATGTGCGTAAGTCAAATGAATATAATTCATCAAGACGGCGATATCGAAGCAAATCATATTCCCGATCCAAATCGAGATCACCATCACACAATGGAGGTGGTATAGGTTATGTGAAGGAAAAAGAAGAGGCAGCACGACCAGATAAAATGATATCTGATCAAAATGTAGGGTTCCAGATGTTAAAGAAATTAGGTACGTTTAAAATTAATGATTACAATATGTGATTTTTTTTTTGGTACATTTACAATTTTCACGTTTATAAGTTAAAACATTTTTATATATTAGGATGGGAAGGAGCAGGTACAGGATTAGGATCATCCTCAACAGGTATTGCCGAACCAATTAAAGGAGGGGAACTTAGAGTTGGAGAACTAAAATATTTGGGAGTTGGTCATGGTCAAGGAGACGAAGAGGACATTTTTGATCAATATCGAAAAGCAAAAAGTTATACATATCAAAGAAGTGAAGCAGGTTCAAAGGATAAAAAACCAGCAGGATGTTTTAGATGTGGGAAGGTAAGTTCTAATTTTTTAATCAAAATCATTATTAGTAAAATTATTCATTATAATTAAATTATGTTATGTTATGTTATTTATTTATTTATTTATAGCCAGGTCATATTGCAAGAGAATGTCCAGACTAAAAGAAATCGGACAATAATAATTTCCAGTTTATCAAATAAAAAATGAAAACATTATTCCATAAAAAAACCAAAACCAATTACAAACTTCCAGACCATTTTTTTTTTTTTTTGAATTTTAGATATCAGGGATATAAAATGATATAATAAACACTTTAAATATAGTTTTAGGGTTTTACTTAAAAAACTATAATTAATTCTTCTAATTCAATTTATTGTAAGGACTTGACAAAACCAAAAAATACAGAATATAAAAATATATGTATAATATAAAACTACATTAAATCACAATCACAATTACAATCCAAATTAAAAATTAAAATCAAAATCTTTTAGAAGGAGATTCTAATCCTCGTCGATTTTCAAAAAAGTCCTTGTTGATAGTAATCAACTATAAAACAACAAATGATTAACAGCAGCAAAAAAAAAAAATCAAAGTCAATCAAAATAAGAAAAAAGAATACCTTTGCATTTTGATGTTGCTGTATACTATTCCAAGGATGTGGATTTCCAACCTTATTGATAGCTACTTCTGGACTGGTTCTTAGAGTGTACATAGCATAACTAAAATTCGTATAATTCGTGTTACAGTAAAGGGTATATATATATATATATATATATATATCAGATGATATGTGGAAAAATGAATTATTCGTTAAAATGTTAATGTTAATAAAATGTTAATAACGCTAAATAATTCGTTAAATGTTAAAATATTATTCTCGTATTTTTGATTTCAGCCCATATATATGAAAAATATACTATGAATAAATGATTTTAGCAATAAGTATCACCTTTGACTCTAAGAGGTATAAAAGGTGAATGCTTATTTACAAATATAATAAGAGTTGAAATAATAACAGAAATAATAATAGATATAAAAAAGGATAATAAAAAGATAAACACGAAGGTAGGCTAATATCACGTGATAAACCCGCTATTATGGAGGCGAGATACATTTATTCTTTACTAAAACTCAAACAAATGGTCTCAATGGTCTCGATAATAAATAATAATAATAATAACAATAATAATAATAATAAAATACTTACAGAAGACCAGCTCCGACACCTCCACTACAAATAGCGATAAGCGGAATAATCTATAAAATAAATACAATAAACAATAGGTAATGCGAGGTAAATATAGTCGGACGTGATATTTTTTTTAACCAATTTTCATCAAATTTTTTTAAATAAAAAAAGAAAAAAAAAACATACAGTTTGGTTCTGTTTTAAAAAAGTAAAGACCATTATTATTTAATATTAATTTTTATTGTTATTGTTATTAATAATTTATTGGAAATTGGGGGGGGGGGGGGAATTAATTTTGTGTGGGAAATTAAAACTATTTAAACTATTTAAACAGTATATTTCGTGTTTTATTCACGTGCACACGTGGGAGAATCTACGCCCCACATTAACTGCATTGTAACAGATGTACAGATATAAATAAATTGTTGTTGTTGTTGATTAGATGATCAATGAACATTTTATCGCGTGACTTTATTTTTGGGAACTATTTTTGGAAACTTTAATTTTGGGAACTTTATTTTTTTGGAGGTATTTAATCCGAAAAAAAATCACAATAATAAATAATACATGTAATGGAATTTGATGAAATTGTAATTGCGTGTATACATATATATATATATATTGACCTTCCCTTCTTTCAACAATTCAATCTCATTTTTTATTTTTGAATTTCCCTTTTTTTTTTGTACATATCTATGTAATATATATATATAGATATAGATTATTGTAATCAAAGAAATTAAAAAAATCAAAAGAAAAAATCAAGAAGCAATTGTGACTTCAACTTCAACACCAGGTTCAATAGAAATGGAAGTCTGTTTAAAATCAAAGAAATCAAAGAAATCAAAGATAATAATGATTAATAATTAATAAAATTAATGTAATGAATAATAATATAATAAGAAATAATAATGATAATAAGAAATAATAATAATAATAATAATAATAATAATAATAATAATAAGTAAATAAATATAACAATTATACATACAATTTGTTTAACAATTTCACTAGGAGAATGTAAATCAATTAATCTTTTATGAATTCTCATTTCATATCTATCCCAAGTTTTACTACCTTCACCACAAGGAGTTTTACGGGTGGTAATTCTAAGTACTTTGGTGGGTAATCGTACCGGTCCTTTAACTCTTAATTGTTTTTCTTTAGCTCGACCAATTAAATCCGAACAGACTTTTTCTAATGCTTTAACATTTCGAGAAGTTAAAGTAATTCGGATACGATGAACCTAAATTTATTATATTGATTATTAGCATATATAATTAATTAATTATTTAAAAAAGAATTTGATGTAAAAGAATTTTTGAAGAAGAATTTGATAAAGATATTTAATATTATAAGTTAGAGTATATATTATAATAATTTTCTCAATGCACCTTCTATGATATACATTATATATACAACCACCCACTTTATCTCACGCAATATCATTTTTATTATTATTATTATTTTTAAAATTTTTTTTTAATTAAGATATAAAAAAATATCATTATTATTAAAAATAAATCCATATATAAAAAAAAATTTAGGAATAAATTACTTTTGGTGCTTCTTCAATATATTCATCTTTTCCCTTAGCAACGTGACTCATGGTTTATTTAGTTATTTTTTTTTTAAAAAAAAACCAGGAAAGATCGCGATGACTAAAGGCTACGATGGTGGAAAGAGGAGGGAAAATATTTTAAAATCTCGTATAATTTATTATTTCTTTTTCATCAATCACGTGTAAATTAGTTATCCAATAATTTTTTTTTTTTTTTTTTGAATTTCAGAGTGATACGAAAAAATTCTTCATCAGATACCTAGCTCTTTTCTCTTTTCTGAATTTTCAAATTTTTAAAAAATGGTAAAGATTAATTGGATTCATTTTTAAAATATTTCAAATCAATTAATGGATGAATTAAATTTGATAAAGGGATTAATAAATTTATTAATTAGATGAATTTTTATCTATCGAAATTAATGAGAATAAAAATAATAATTAATTAAAAAATATCGAATATTTACTTTCTTATATTTTTTCCTTCTTAATTTTATTATTATAATATTTTTTAGCCTTCAAGACTTAAAAAGAATAGAAAGAAGCGGGGTCACGTTTCTGCAGGGCATGGTCGTATCGGTAAGTATTCATCATAATCATGATTCATTAATATTAATATTAAATATTAAATATTTAAATATTCATCATAATTTAGGTAAACATCGTAAACATCCGGGAGGTCGAGGTCTCGCTGGTGGATTTCATCATCATCGTTCCAATATGGATAAATATCATCCAGGTTATTTTGGTAAAGTTGGTATGAGACGATTTCATCTTACCAAAAATCAACATCATCGTCCAATCGTTAATTTGGATAAATTATGGACTTTGGTTTCGGATCAAACGAGAAAAAATTATGCCAAAAAACCAGATGTGGCTCCGGTTATTAATACTTTACGTGCTGTAAGTATTTCTTTATTACTATTATTATTATTGTTATATTTATTATTATTATTATTATTATTATTATTATTAACAACTAATATTATGATGACAATATTATTTATTTAGGGTTATGGTAAAGTTTTAGGAAAAGGTCGCCTTCCTAATCAACCAGTAATCATTAAAGCACGATATGTATCTAGGAGAGCGGAAGAAAAAATAAAGAAAGTTGGTGGTGTAGTTCAATTGATTGCTTAAAAAAAATATATTAATTAATATTTTTAATTAATAATTTTTAATTAATAAAATAACATATATATGTATTATATATATATATATATATAATAGTATAAATGTATGAAGAATTTCAATTTATAAAAAAAAAAAATTGATAAATTTAAGAAACAAAAAATATATATAAATTCACAAATTTATATCAATAAATTCATTAATAATAAATTAAATAAATAAATAAATTATTATTATTATTAATAATAAATTTAGATGTGCAATGAACATAGATTTTTATTATTTAAATTATTCTTAACATTAAATATATAATCACAACTACGCTCAAATAATCTAAAAACCCTTTTTTATTCATTCCAAACTGTATCTACGGAATAAGGTGCAGTAATCTCAAATCCTTTAGCAGTAATTTTTGCTCGTTGGAACTGTGTAAAAATATTAATTAAAAATATTAATTAAAAATATTATTTAGATAAATGGTTAATAATTATTAAACAACAATAATAGATAACTAATAAATAATTAATTAAAACTTTTGATTAAAAACCTTATTTAAACTTCTGGCATCTCGATAATATGAAACTCTCATACAATTATCTACAATTTCAATAGCTTCTTCTTCCGTAACTTCATCTTCACGTCCATCAATACTTTTACGAAGAAGAGGAAGCATGAGTTGCCTTCCTAATCCTGTGGCAATAGAAGACGATTTATAAGTTGTTCCTTTGAGATCTGCGTATCCGAGAAAGCTTTTCATCATGAAATATTTTGTTAAAAATCAATATGTGTATATATATATATATATAATTATATATTTTATTATATATTTATTAATTAATTTTTTTACCTTTCTCCATTGTGAAATCCTCCAACAATAAAAGAATTCCACAAAGGATTCATTTTAGATCTTCTACCGTATAAAACTTGATGTAAATATTCATGAATATGTGGGGCAGCGAGAACATGACCGTCATTAATGTAATATTCTTTGATCCTTTTAATTTAATTAAAAATATAGATAGATATATATATATTTAATGATATATTTAATGGTATATATTCAAGAATATATTTATATTTAGTTGGTATATTTTTCGTACATTAAAGATTCAAAAAGATGTTTGACATATTGAAGATCGGAAATGTCGCCTGATCCTGCTATACAAGTAAATTCACCTACGGGAAAAATACGTTCAACCGATTTAAAACGAGCAAGAGATCCATAGGAAGCTATCGGATTAAAATTAATTAATTAATTAAATTTAAATTTTTTTGAAATTAACGTTTATAAAATTAAAAAGTTGAATTAAAAGTTAATTTAAAATTATAAACACGCACCCAAATTATCAGCAGCTAACATTACTCCATCACGGTATTTAAAACCAATTATAGAAGTACCAGTTACTATGGGTTGTCTGTAACGAAATAATTGAAATATTTGAAATATTAGAAATTATAAATTATCCTTAAAAGTAGAAATTCGTATGAATTCACATACGTAGTTTGCTTAGTTACATTTCCAACTCCAACGTTTTCTCGAAAATTAATATTATTATTAAAATTGATATTATTATCAAAATTAATATTATTATCAAAATTAATAAAATTATTAAAATTATTAAAATTCATTATGAAAAGAATTAGAGATTTGTAAAAATTCATTATACGTAATATATATATGTGAAGACTGATTGTGTAACGTTAAATCCAAAGTAAAAAATTGTTCGTAAAAATAAAAAAATTCCTCCTCTTTCACTTCACTGGAAATTAATCAATCGAAATGGTACATTTTTAACGTAATTTTATTAATATGATTTTTTGTCAGATAGATACATATAATAGTAGATATTAGATAATTATTGATAGAAAAAAGGCAATTCTTTTTTTTATGGAAATGGATGACTCATATATATTTTTTTTATATATTCCAAGAATATTAATTTTTTTTTTTTTATATAACAATTTTTTTTTTACTAGGGTATTGACATCGATAAACATCACGTAAGGAATAAGAACCGGACCGCTCCCAAAAGTGAGGATGTATACCTCCGATTGTTGGTGAAGGTATTTGAATTTTTCATATAAATCTAATTTATTTAATTTAATTAATTAATTAATTTATTTAAAGAATTCAAAGATTTTAACAATTCACTAAAAACTACAAAATTTTTTTTTTTTTGTACAGCTCTATCGCTTCCTAGCTCGAAGAACGGATTCAAAATTTAACAAAGTAGTTTTGAAACGCCTTTTCATGTCACGAATCAATCGTCCACCAATTTCCCTTTCTCGAGTATTAAAAAATATTGCAAATAAGGAAAATAAAATTGTGGTGGTGGTGGGAACCATTACTGATGATAATAGAGTATTAGATATTCCTAAAATTTGCGTTGCAGCACTTAGAATTACTAAAACAGCTAAAGCAAGAATCTTAAAATCGGGTGGAGAAGTGTTGACACTTGATCAATTGGCATTACGTTCCCCTACCGGTTCTAATACAATTTTGTTGAGAGGTCCTAAAAATGCTCGAGAAGCTGTTAGACATTTCGGAATGGGTCCTCATAAACATGCTAAGTATGTTATAATTATTAATTATTATTATTCATTATTATTATTATAATTATTATTATTACTAATAAAATTTATCAAAATATCTTTTTAGACCATACATTCGATCTAAGGGTAGAAAATTCGAGAAAGCTCGTGGTCGCCGAGCATCTCGTGGATTTAAGGTGTAAAAGAAAAAGAAAAAGAAAAAAAACTAAATAAATATATATATATATATTTTAACAAATAATAATAATGAATGATTAAAATAATTTGGAAATATATAAATATATATATATACATATATTTTATTTTTTTTGTTGAATTAACTTTATTCCATGTAATATAAATATTGAAATATGAAAATAGTTGATTTGCTATAACCTTTAAGAAAGATAATTCATCAAGTTCATTGATATTCAGTAATCCTTCCTAAAGTAATTACATATTATCAACTTCAACTTGCCATTTTGAGTATTATAATATATTACTATTGAACATGATACATTTTTATATCATGAAATAAACAGATATATATATATAAAGTAAAACAAAAATAAATTCCAACTTAAAAATATAATTAAAAAATAAGTTTATTGGAAATTATTTGATTCAACATAATATCTAAAAAGCATATCTAAAAGAGATCTAAAAGAGATCTAAAAGATATCAGAATATATATTCTAAAATATGAATTAATAAATTTAATCAAAAGATAACAAGATTACTTACCATTTTAAAACACGAACAAAAAGATAAATTAATATTATCTTTTTTTTTTTATATATGTTGAATAATAACAACAACAACAACAACAATAATAATAATAATAATAATAATAGATTTGGTTTTTTCGGGTGTGGTTTTTAATTTTCTCTACACGATTTGTTCCAATTCTCGTGCATAATTAAGTGCTTGTTTTATAATATTATCATGAGGTATTTCAACTTTTTCATCATCTTTTGTGGCGAAATATATTTTCTTTTCTGCTGGAATAACATTCCATCCACGCTATATGATGATTATGTGATCATTATTAATTGAAAATTCATCATCATTAAAAAAAGAGAGAGAGAAGGAATCGTTAATTTACCTCAGAAGCAAAAGTTAAAACTTCATGAATGTTATTATTAAAGAATAATAATGTAGCTGCATCTGCTAATGGCAAACTTGTATACGCTTTCTCACTGCAACTTGCAATTTCATTCCTAAATATAATAATGTATATAATATGAACGATAAATATTATATAATTATTAATAAATATAAATCTATAATAAATTCATAATAATGAATCAATATTTAAAAAACCTAATAGTTCTCATCAAGATATCAATGAAAAAGAGATAATCAGGAGCGGGAACTTGTTCACGAGAATTCCAAACTTTATTATAACTTCCTTCCATTAAATATTGTTCCAAATGAACCGGATGTTTGATATAAGGATTTTCCAAAAGTAATTCCGGTTCAATGTTTTCTAAGGCGGTATGAAATTCGGCAATTCGATTTTGTGAAAGTAATCGAAGAAGATTTAATCCGGTTAAAGGATACATTTGTTGGGATTGTGGAAGTATTGAACTAATGAATATTTAATTGAATTTAATGAAAATTAATTGGAATCAAAGAATATTTAATTGAATTTAATAAAAATTAATTGAAATTTAGTGAATATTAATTGAATGAAGAAATATTAATTGAATAATTGAATGAGATTATTATTGAAATTACGAAATTATTATTAATTTTATTAATTATACCTGTAATCAGTATAATATGTATTCAATTGAGCTATATATCTTTCGAATGAAGGAATATCCTTAACACGAACACTCCATAAAGCTCCTATTTCCAGGATATTTCCTAATCAAAAGAAAAAAAAACAATAAAATTAATTATCATAATTTATTGTCCTTGCGAGCACCTTCTCAAATCTTCTTCTATAATCTTAACTTACGAGCGGTGAGTAATTCTCCTACATTAGTAATTTCTCCTTCAGGAAGTAATAGATTCATCTCAGATAACGCAATCTAAAAAAAAATAAATTGATTCCTTTAACTCGTTAAATTTACCGGAAAAAAAAACCAAATTGAAGATAATAATAATAATAATAACAACTTTAAGTTTCGCTAAATAGGTTGCACATTTTGTGTAATCCGCTTTTGTTGAAGCAAATTCTTTCTCAAGAGTATTATAAAGTTGCGATGCTTCTTGCAATCTGCTACTTTTTGTAATTTTTGGCATTATTTTTACTTTTTACCATCTTTTCGATAACTATTATATGATTGATAATCACGAGACAAATTACGCAACGTAGCCAATGTGTAATATGTAATAATAAGCAACGCGTAATGAGATTTAGTGAAATTAAATGAAATTTAGTGTAATTTAGTGTAATTTAGTCGCGCATCTAAATTTGATATTATTTCATTGTTGACATTATTGAAATTATTATATTAACACGACGTACGTGAATTTTTAATCAAAATAGAAACAAAAAAGCGCGTTGTTTTGCATTTGCCTGATCAAAACAAAATAAAATAAAAACATAAATAAAAAATAATCAAAATAATAATAATCATAATAATAATAATAATAACAAATAAAGAATCAAAATAAAAATAATCTCAAAAAAATTTATAAAAAGGTCAGATTTTTACCTTTACCGTTTTTTTTCTTGTTCTTCAATACTTATACCTTTTAGTAGTAGTAATAATAATTCACCTTTCTATTCTAATTTCTTTTTCTCAACGAGAAAACATACACTTTTTTTTTTAACTCTTTTATCAAATAATATTATAAAATCATGTCTGGTCGTGGTAAAGGTGGTAAAGGACTTGGAAAAGGTGGTGCTAAACGACATCGAAAAATCCTTCGTGATAATATTCAAGTAATTATTATTATCAAATTATTTTTTATTTAATATTATCAATCTATTATTATTATCAAATTATTTTGGTTACTTATTATTATTATTATTATTATTATTTTTTATAGGGTATCACTAAACCAGCTATTCGCCGTCTTGCACGTCGTGGTGGTGTAAAACGTATTTCAGGACTTATTTATGAGGAAACTAGAGGTGTACTTAAAGTATTCCTTGAAAATGTTATTCGAGATGCTGTAACTTATACAGAACATGCAAAACGTAAAACTGTAACTTCTCTTGATGTTGGTACGTATTATTTATTATTATTATTATTATTAATTATTAATTATTAATTATTAAAATATTCTAAATTTAATATCTCTTAAAAATGTTATTTATTTATTTATATTTTTTTTTACTATTATTATTATTATATATAATAGTATACGCACTCAAAAGACAAGGTCGTACTCTATACGGTTTCGGAGGTTAAAAAAAGAAAATCTCAAACTACTTTTCTATTATTCATCGCATCACCTAACGAAAACATTAAAAAGAAAATCTTTGAACATTTTGAATATTTTGAATATTTTGAATATTATAGAACATTTTATCAATACTATATTTTTCGCATATATTGCATATCTTTTCTCTCATTTTCTCATTTTTTCAAAAAAATGTTGGACTTTATGGACATACAACACACACATATATATATACATATATTTTTTTCTTTCATATTAAATCCGTATTATAATTATCACCACCTTTTTTTTATATATCCAAATAAAAAAATGAAATTATAGATATCAAATATATTTGTTTTTGATTTTGTAAATACATTTATTAATAAATGAATGATAAATTTTGATCTTGATCCTGTTTCCGGTTTTATTTTTGGTTAAAATCTGCATAATCTGTAAATCGCATTATCTCTATTATTACTGTATTCATTACTCTCTATTATTCATTATTATTGTTATTCACAGAAAGAAAGAAAATAAAAAAAAAAGATTAAAAAATTAAAACAAAAAATGGTACATAAAAATTTAAAATTATTTTTTTTTTTACTTGATAAAAAAATTCACTCGGGGAAAAGTTCATCAATGAATAAAAATATTATTATTATGTGTATTATTTATTAGTCTTCAACAACTTGCGAAGTTGACCCAGTAGTTTTAGAAAAATTAAAAAAATTTAGATTCGGAAAGAGATCACAAGGAAATGCGGCATTTGTTTGTAAGCTTTTTTAAGTACCTTTTTTTTTAAATCGATTATTCATCATCATCATCATCAAAGATAAAGAAATTTATTTTAATTCCTTTTAACTTTTAAAAAAAAAAAAGTAAAGATCGATAGAAAAAATTTATTAGTTGTAGAAGATGGAATTTATGATAATATATCATTGAGTGAACTTGTTGATGGTAAATAATATCATTGTTATATCTTATTATATTGTTATTATTATATTGTTATTTATTGAATTCATATTTATATTCACTTTAAAGTACTTCCCGAAACTAATCCACGATATATTGTATTAAGTTATGAGGTATTTTAGATTTATTACATTTTATTATTATTTTATTTTATTATTATTACATCTTATTGCATTTTTTTATAAAGATTAATATATTCTATTTAGTTATCTCATAATGATGGAAGAAAATCATATCCATTAGTATTGATTTATTATTCTCCTCCTTCTATCAAACTTGAGACTCACATGCTGGTAAAAATAAAATAAAAAATAAAATAAATCTTTAAAAGATAACGTGAAAGATTTTATGTATGTATTATAATAGATTATAATAGATTATAATAGATTATAATGATATTATTATTATTGATTTATTGAATTTTTTAGTATGCAAGTGCAAAAAAATATTTTCAAGAGAAAGCAGATTTGAATAAGGTAATTATATTATTATTATTATTATTATTTATATTATTATTATTTTCATATATATTTATTATATAAAAAATTTATTATCATGAAAATTAGGTGTTTGACATTAGAGAAGTAGAATCATTAACTGATGAATGGTTACAAGTGAGTTAATTGATTAATTTATTTATTTTTAATTAATTTTATGTTGTTTATCATTTTTAATTAAATTTTTATGTTTATTATTTTTAATTAATTTTATTTTATTATTATTTTAATTAATAAAATTTTAATAAAATTTTAATAAAATTTTAATAAAATAATAGGAAAAACTATTACATCATTAAGCAATTTTTTTTGACATTATTCAATTGTAATATTCAATTCTGATCTGTTATTCACTTTTCTCACTACTATCATCATCCCAATGGTCTTCTAAATGTCTCTTTAAAGTTGGAATATTTTTTATATCTTTCTTATTACACAAATGACAATTCAATGGCTTTTTTAATAAAGTTTCATAATAAATTTTATCAAACTTTGAAATGTAAATATAATAATATATATATTTTATTAATAAGAAATCTTTGTTAATTAAATCAACAATGTAAATGTAAATTGAAAAATAAAGGAAATAAAACAAATGAAAGTACAAGTACAAAAACACTTACCTTGATTTCCTCTTTTTCTTTTAACATATTTTCAATTTCTTCATAATCCTTAAAGAAAGGTGTTGTAAATGAATTCCAATGCTTTTTATTTTTCAAAGCTGGAGAAATAAAATCTTGAGAAATTACGTGCATATGAAATTGCCTTGTAATCCAAAAAAAAATTTCAAATCGATTATTCTAATTAATTAATTATTTATTTATTTATTTATTTATTTAGCAAGAGTACCAAAAAAAAAAAAAAAAATCTATAATTACTTCATACTAGGTAAAGCGTGAAATCCCATACGAAATTTAAGTTTGGGATTTTCTCCTTTCATACTAATTAAACATTTAAGAAACAATTAAAACCATAAATTAAATTAATCATGACCACAATAAATATTATTTTTCATGATCATTATGATTATTTTTATGAATTACTTTCACGAATTAATAAATTAATAATTCATAATTAATAATTCATAATTAATAATTCATAATTCAAGAATCTTTTTCACCTCTCAATAACCCATTGCCCTTTTTCTTTCAATTTCTTCATCATTCCTAAATCTCTTTTTTTCAAATTTTCAATACCATCAATTCTTTTTCTTGGCATTACCAAAAAATGTTTCTTGGCTTTGGGATATTTATCGGTAATTATAACAAATTCATTATCAAAATGATATACTTCATTTGCACTAAATGTTTCCGGGTGTTCACAATATTGTATTAATTCTTCTGACCACCGGGGGGAAGAGGAGGAAGAGGAAGAGAAGGATTTGGTGGAAAAATTACGTGTCGAATTATTCTTCATTGCTTTAACTATAATTATGATTATTCGCATTAACATATTAACTTATAAAGATTAATAATAATAAATTCCTGATCTATTTTTTTTGATGTCGCTTTCGTTGATTGGTGATTAAGTATTCATGTGTTCCTCGGAGAATGAATGGTTCCCTTGATATTTAAAAATATTCATGTGAATTTAATATAAAAAAGCAGCTGAAAATCATCATGTTAACCCCTAAAAAAATTACCGATCAAGCTTTATATACAACAATTGAAATGAAATGATAATAAAAGAAAAGTACAGTAAATATTATTTTGGATGGTTCATTCTTTATAATATATATATATATATTAATCTATTTTAGTATTTTATTTTTATAAAAAAAAATATATATTTATAATTTACATGTGTCTAAATGTGTTGTGTTCCTTCTCCCCTCATCGAATGTTTCTTTTAAAAAATAAATGGGGGAGAAGATTTAACAATAACTGATGGTCTTTTTTTAGGCATTCCGGAACGCCAAGCATACATCAATTTTTCCGACCAAAATAAAATGGAAATAATAAAATGGAAATAATAAATGTAATAATAATGAAAAAAATTTACAAATAAAAATATTATTTTTTTTTTTTAAAGAGACGTTAATGAATTATATTTAACAAGTTGATATTTTACTATTACTAAATACAATATCAAAATAATAATAATTATATTTTTTAAAAGCGACAAAATTCTACTAACCACTAAATAATAATAATCTTAATAATAATCCAAAGAACTAAATAATCAAAATAATAATCAAAAGAGAATCTCACTTTGAAAAAAAATAAAGTATATATATATATATATCTAAATATAAATATTCGAATGTGATAATTTGTTTAACTCTTTTAAATTTCCAATACCATGATATACATTATGAATATATATATATATAATAAATGAATAAATGAATAAAGAATGAATATATATTTTTTTTTGAGAGGGGAGTTGATTGGTTGTCACCTGCAACCTTTGTTGAAAATGCAATTTCGAATTTGATTACTTTGATAAATTTGATAAACTTTGATAAACTTTTGATAACTTTTGATGGCAAAATAACATCATTTTATTAATTATATAGCGCGATTTCATTTTCTATTGGCGTTAGGAGTAGTTTGTTTAGCCCAAAATGATGATGATTGAGTTGTTTGTTGAAATTTATTTGAAATCTCTTGTCCCACAACTACTGTCATAAATTTAAACATCGTATTTTTAAGCCAATCTTCCCATTCTTTATCTTTTGAATTATTATTACCATTAAAATTCTTTTGATTACTAAAACCACCAAGGTGTCCATTTCTATTCACATCGAATCCATCCCTTGATTGATCAAAATATTTTTGTAAAAATTCTTCCCAATCTCCACCTAACATAGAAGCTCGGTTTCTTATACCACTTTTTATTTGTGACCAAACTCGTGATGTTTTGATGGTTCTCCGGGTATTATCATAAAATGTAAGAAAGTATGAAGTACAGAATATAATCATAACGAACGTCATACATAAGGAATATATCATCACAAGAGAAGCAACTTGTACTATAGAAGAAGAGAGCACTCGGCGTGGTACGGAAGAAGGAATAAATGAAAGAGAAGAAAACCATTTCGGATTTTCTTTATTCCGGGTATTAGTGGTAGTGGTAGTGGTAGTTGCTGCAGTAAAGTCTCTTTGTGATGGTGACACTGAACTTTGTTGTTCTGAGCAATAGTCGTCATAATTATTTGAAGACTGTCCAGAAGACGTTGTGGTTGAACGTGTAGAATAAAATTGACTCTTATGTCTAGGCATTGTTGAACGGAAAGAAGTGCCTGGGCGATAGTCCGTATATTCAGAGTCTTCACAGGGTGGAGGAGTACTTGTTCGAGGTGACATTTTTTTTTTTTTTTTTAATAAAAATTTCTAAAAAAATTCCTGTATTTATATAACTTTATTTTTTTATATAATATAAATATATATATATATAAATATATATGTCTATCTATGTGAAATTTTTTTTAATTTTTTTTTTCTTTTGAAAGTTGACAAGTTTATTGTTGGTTTTTATATATTACACAGAATATTACCAAATAAAGGTTGTTATATTATTTCAATTGACCGTTAACTAAAAATAAATATTTTTTAAAAAAAAATAATTTTTTAAATACAAAAAAAAAAAAACGAATTTTTTTTTTTTTCGAAGGAGATTTGAATAATTAAAACTCGGAAAAAAAAAGGCCAGAATTTTATAATAAAATATCTAGTTTAAATAGTTTAAATCGAATACAATATGTACACAATAAACTAAGTGAAAAAAAAAAATATTTTGCTTATTTTTCAGGCGTTTGTGCTTCAAAGGATTTCCAAATGTTATTAAAATCATAAGGTTTATAAGGTTTTGGAACTAAACATAGGATAATTGGCTGATTGTTACTGAGGAAAGTGGCTTGGTAATATTATCCTATTATAACTATTATAACTTGTTATATATCAATCGGCGCACATTATTAATTACAACTGGTAAAACAGGTCAAATTATTATTATTATTTTTTTTTTTTGCATTATTTCTATCATTCTTGTCAAACAATCCTTTCTACTTACTTATTCTTGCTCATCAATCATGACTAAGAAAGACTCACGCGTTGTCTTTTGAGATTTTTATATCTTTTAATTTTTCTTTTTGTGCGATTTTTGTTTAGAACGTTTTTAATGGATATCTTTTTTTTTAATTATAAATCTTTGTCTTGAATTCCCAATGAGTTAATGTGTTTACTCTCTCTCGCATTTGCCTACATATCCATTTTATCCATGGTGATGCACTGCGGGTCATTTAATATTTACTTATTAAAAAAGCACCGACCAACTATTTTTCTTTGACAATCATTTAAATCATTTATTATTTATTTTATGAGATAATTAATAATATCAAGGAGATTTTTGTGATGCATGAGATGACATACCACGAGCAAAAATTCTTAAAATTCTTCTTTTACCTTCCTATCCAATAATATTAATAACACAATATTCCCCCAATTGTATTTTATTTAAAAATTAATCTTCGTTCAGCTGCTCTCACCTGTTTGTCTTTATTGTGTTTACCCTAATTGGTTGGGGAATTGGGGAAAAAAAATGGAATTATTTGATAAAGATCTGTGTTTGTTTTTGTTTCAATAGAAGGTTTCACAGCAAAATTCATATTCCTAATCATCATAAATGACTATTTTAAGAATTTCTGTTATTAAAAATAGATTAGAATTAGAAAACAGTTGAATATTTCTCTTTATGGAAGGTATTTGTGCACGTGCTAATGGTTAATATATATATTATTACATCAAAATTGTTGAAAACCCATTAGGAAAATCACATATGGGCCGATTTGTCTCACATCACTAATTAACTTACATATTACCAAAAAAACATGGCTGGTATCGCTACTAGATATGTAACAGAAAACGAACTCAATAACGAGGTGAGTATCGAAGAGCTTAGTAAGCACGCTCCGGAATTGGACATCCTTTTGACGGATAAAGTTAAAAGGGATCAGGCACGACGACGTTTTCAAAAAGGATACGATTTTAGTAAAGAGCAAGTATGTTCCTCTTCAACCAGCTGGACGGAAAAAGGGAGGAGCCATACCCAATGCTCCTGATGCACCCGATAACCTCCAAGAAGTAGACCCAAAAGGGTCGGGTGTAGTAAATGTGTGTCAAATTTTGCAAGAAGAAAATATTAGGGAACTGGCCCAGCGTATCGCTCGAGATAATCTTAGTGAGGCAGAAGTAAAAGCTATATCTAAAGTCTTGGCCGATACAGCTTCTAACGCTAGCGCTGGTTTATCACGCCTTCTTAGACTTCGAAGAGAGTTGCGAACCCTCAAAGCCTCGGAAAAAATAGTCTCTGCTACAAAAATTCCAGACATAACCCGTTCAGCTAATAAAATCCAAAAGGAAAAAAGTTTGCTCCGTGAAAATGAAGGGATCGATTACCCTGATCATTTTGCATTAGAATCAGTCAAGGAAAGATTGGATGAGTATGATATATCCAATGTACCTGACTTACAAGCCCTAGCTGATGTGATGATCATGCTCTGTATTCGCCCTGCTGAAATTAAAAACTTGCGTATATCTAATGGGAGTGTAACTGGATACGCAAAAAACCGGGGTCAACAAAATATCCCTCGGCTGTTTAGATCACTGGAAAAGAACGAGGAGCGAGCTAGACAATTGCTTACATGGGTCCAGAAAGCAATTTCTTCCGGACAGTTACGAGACCCTGGAAAGCCCGGAGTTTTATGGTTTAATACATTTCTGAAAAAAGATGAGTTCCTTCCTGAAACCGGCAAACCACTACTTCCTAGTTCTTTGCGCAAATTAGGGGCGGTATTTGCAGTTATGGCTCATGGAGCGAAGAATTTATCAGAGGCTATGAGTATTGCAAGTGAAGCACTTAGACATGCTCCTGGGAACCATACCTCACCCGCAAAAAACTATACAATAGTAAATTATCGAAAAAGAGGACAACCTTATGATCAGGCAGAGGCAACGATGAAAACTAATCACATATAAGGGTTAGAGGGTCGGGATATTATTTATTAATTTTATTTTTTCGCTCGAGGCAAGATATACCATATATAAAATATCGCAAAAAATGGTAACCGATCAAAATCATTCATCTGATATATCCAGAGAGCAGGAAGTTATCAGATATATGAAGATATTAGCCCAGGCATTTGGATTAGACAAGCAAAATGCAGAGGTGTATAGTGCACTTTCCGGTGAAAAGAAAAGAGGGTAAAAAGATTAGAGAGGGATGTAAAGTCCTTAGAGACTGAATTAGAAGATCTGAACGAATGTGTGAACTGGACGAATGTGTAGATATGGAGACTGTGGTCGACTTAATACAAGAAATAGTTCCCTCGATAATTAATAAAAAGTTGTCAAAAAACGCTGAACGCGGGAATGTTTATTTTAGTAAACAGGCTACTTTCGATTTCTACGAGTCCAGTTCGTCTGAAGAAAATGGAGAATCTAATGTTCAGGTAGATGAATGTTATCAACCTAAAAAGAGGAAAGGTAAGCGCAAGATCAGAAATTATCGGATTGTTTGATGTTAATCCGGAGCAGTGAATAGAGGTTTTATTTTTTATTAAAATATAAATGATCTATTTATTAGAAAATGCCAGATGATTTATTAGCAAATGACAGATGATTTATTAGCAAATGCCAGATGGTGCTTACAATGAATTTATCGAGGAATATGGATCAAATGTCAATGGGATCTTCTAAGGTATCATAAGTGGGGAGACTGGGATGACCTTTTTTGCATATCAAAACCTACTGGAATACAAAAGCAGTCAGGCACTGGAGAGAGAAAATGCTTAAGCAATTCGTATATAGTCTGCCCAATGTGAGAAATCCAACATCATTATTCCATTACTCATACAATCCAATGCAATTTATCTTTCACAAATATTGAGTCTGATTAAATTGCCACATGTTGCGTGTGAACTTCGGCGAGAAATATGACCTATGGAAGAACCATAGTATTTCAAATGAGATAGAGAAGTTCCGACGTGGGTTATTATTCCAAAACAAAGAAGAGTCAATAACAGATTATTATTCGAAGGTAAAGAGATGTAATGATGCTGTCAAGCTCTGTAAAAATCATCTTAAAGACAAATTGTTAGAGGATTATCACCAGCGTATCAAATGTATATTGCATGTTTTAGGTTTCGATGCCATAATCTTACTCTTAATGAATTGGTAGAAATACTTATTCGAGCATAAAAAGAAACAACGACTGATTTTATAAACGCATTTAGAGATTCTCTCAGTCAACCTAATATTGATCAAGATTCAATACAGTGCTTGATGGCTACGCCTTGGTTCACCCTGGTTAATGTTAATCCGGAGCGGGTTGGACGCTTTGTATGATCATCGGCATTGCATTGCTCGGAATATTGTATTCCACATTTTTTTCGTTTGAAGATGTAACGTATAATATGCACTATGTATAGCGCATTCACGAATTTTTATTATACCAGAATTATTAGGACATATTTTACATTTTTTAGCAATGGATAAGTCGCTCTATCCCACCCTGTTTGTTAACCGATTTTGGTATAGATGTGCTGTTCCTAGCTTATGGAAATACATCGAACTAAAGGGGAATGACCTGAAATATGGCCATTATTTTCCAGAGACCGTACTAGATGGAAAAGATTTATAAAAATAATGAATGAAAAGCATAAGCCAGCTTATGTCTCGAATCTAACCCATCTAGAAATTACTTATTACCATTCACTTTCGGATAAAAAAATAAAAAGTATTGTGGATACATTTCCAAATATAATTCATTTAGATTTCAAAAATAGTATAGGTTTTGGTGATAGATCACTACTTATAATAGCGGAATCATATCCTAATTTAAGATATCTCAATTTGTGGGATACTCAAGCAATAACCGATAAAGGCTTATGTGCAATTGTACGATCATGCCGTAAATTAGAACATCTAAATATTTCTTACTGCAGAAATATTACCAATAAATCTTTGTTTGAAATCGCAGAAAATTGTCATGATATACAAGTGTTTCATTTTGCCGAAGCACGTCAGATCACAGATAAATCTATAAGTTGCATCTTAAACTCATGCCCAAATTTACGAAATCTTGATATTGCATATAGTAAGGGGATGTCAAAGATACTAGTATGTTAATACAGAGATGTCTCAGCATAGAGTATCTTGACTTTGCTGGTGTCATGGCTTTCCGTAATGATGCATTAATTGTGGCTATCATCAGAGCATCTCCGAATTTAAGACATTTGGAGATCAGTCATAATGATATTGGTGATCTCCGAATTTAAGACATTTAGAGATCGGTCATAATGATATTGGTGATGAGGTTACTGAAGCACTGGCTCATACTTGTCATAAATTAGAATATCTCGATCCGGATTGCTGTGATTTTGTTAGTGAACCATCAATTTGTAATGTTATACGTTCCTGCCCAAAGCTCCAACATCTCAACCTTAGTTACTGCAATATTACAAGTAAGAAATTGCTCGCTCATGTCTCAATTTAAAATTTCTTGATTTGGAAGGGTGTGAAAATATTAGCAAAAAAGCCATGGACCAGCTAAATCCAAATATTCATATCGAAAATTTTGAAGATTACTAAACCGAATCAGAGTCCGAATAATCTAGCTAGTCCGTAGCGGTGATCTTCAGCTTGGAAGAATTGCTGAGCCACAGATTGTGCGACAAAAAATAAGTGGATCATCAATCAGGTCTTGTGCGACATATTAATTTTCACATATATATATATTCGAAAAAACATATTAACTATTAACCTTTATTCTTTTCCCCGAACAATCATGAGAAAAATGTGAAAGAAGGTCTACACGCAACACAGGACCTACTGTAAAAGTAAATATTAACGTAAAAAGCATATGTTATGAAGGCCTGAGGGACTCACAATTTCGAGATCGCCAGGCATAAGTCCAACTATATTTCTTGCAGGGTAGATCTACATGTGAAAAGGTATGAGGATTTCATTTACATGTGCTTTCATGAAGCTCTTGGCATCAGACGACAATGCTAATCACGCCTCATACCTCCTTAACTTTTTCCCAGCCAGATATAAAGCATGTAGGAGTATGTGGAAGTTCAGCCAACTTTCCGCAAAATCCTTCCTGTAAAAATAATGCAAAAATAGGTATGTATATGCCAGAAGTTATGTATGTACGAGAGCGTGTTTTTTCTCACTATGGACTCTTGTATTTAGGAATGGATACTGATTATATCGAACTTACTATTAAGATAGTAACAATGAATTTGTAGTTGGTACGTCTCAGATTCTCAGTGTCGATGGACTCAAAAACTACATTGTAGGAGAAATTGGTACTGCTCGATTTGACCTCTATAAAAATAGCGTACATCTAAAAAATCTTATGGATACGAAGAAGGCAATTCTTAATTATTTTAATCCCGAAAAAGATGATAAATCGATAAGCATCAAAAAACTTGTCAATTCATTCTGCCAAGTGAATGTTGCAAGAAATAAAACGATCGTAGCAAAGAGATCAGAGATTACATTATGGTGTTTATTCTCCAAAAAATTCGAAGATAAAGTTGTGGAGCTTAGATCTGAAGATAAGAAACTTGCGGATAAGACTGCAAGATCACAAATTTACACTGAAATGAAACCATACCTTGCGGACGTTTCTGATGGATATTTACGTGTAATGACCTGTAAGGCAAGAAAAATCAATAAGTTATTTGGCTATGAATATGATCCTGTAACTCTGAAAAAGATTGATGGTATACCAGGGTATATGGTTAATCAGGTCACCTATAGCGCTGACAAAATTTCAAAGCTCACTAATCCTCAAATCGATTATATTATAGAACAAGTCAAATCGAAAACAATCACTAGTCATGTGAACAAAATCTTTGAAACCGTGGCTACTACTTCAGCTCACAATTCAGATTATAATTTTAGTGACGCATCATTGGATGTTACAGATTATTTTAAGTCAGACAATGAATTCGAGTTCGATGCTAATAAATCTGATTCCGATGTATATTTCAAATCTAATAACTCTGACTCCGATGATGATCACGAACTTCATGAAAGGCTCACGTGTGAAGAAATGGCAAGAATAGCGAAGTTAGAGAATAAAACACCAACTAAGCCTAAAGAGCCGTCACAAAGTGACCCCCATGTAAATGATGATAATTTTGATAAAATACTCATGGAAATTCACAAGAACCATGATATATATTTGATGATCCCGTACCTCAGTCAGTAATAAATTCTACCATCTCTCCGGTGACTGCCTAGGAGTAATATTGGGAGAATCGTTCATTCGCATAGATTGAATTGTTGTATAGTTTCTTTCTTTTTTGAATCACGTGGGTGGCTTAGATAGCATGTTGATGTCCCGCAGTAAGACGTCACTGCTTCACTGGTTCGCAGAATATTCTATGCGCTATACCTGCCACCCAAATTCAAAATCCAAATGCCAAAATCCCAAATCCCAAATCCCAATCCCAAATCCCAAATCCAA